TATATATATAGTGTGATGGTTCTGGTGAAGTATATAATTCAAGATGAAAATAGACCAATTAGTTGGTCAACCAGTAATAAGCCGATATTGGCAACATTATAAAAATAAAATAAAATCAGCATGTCTGTGCATACTTAATTCAACATCAAGTATGAGAATGAAGATTTCCGTAGTTTTTTTTTTATTTATTGAGAATGCTCTTTTATACTTTTACTTATTCAAACCAACAACTTTTGCGAACCTTAACGTAACATACAGTACTGTTTCAAAATTAAATGAAAGGCCCAGGCTTGAATTTGATGCAGTCACGTTGTTTCTCCACCAGGGGGCGCAGCGACATTTTTACGGCAGTAGTTCCTGCAGCAGCGGCAAAGGAAGTCGAGTGGTATCGTAAAGATGGCTGACAGTGGAGGCACAGGTGATTTTAAGTTGTGCTTTTACCCGCTTTTCTAGCTATTTTTTGTGCATTTAAGCCGATTGCAACAAGAAATAGTTTCGAAAATATAGCTCTTGTTCTGGAGGTGTTCAGCTTTTTCTTCAAACGTCTTTAGTTTTTAGAAATAAGCGCTGCTAACGTTAGCATTTTCACATTAGTTACTTCAGTCGTCGTGATGATGTTGCATCATTTTTTCATCAGTTGTAGTTTGGTACTAGGGTACTAAATGAGCTAATGAGCTGTAAAGATATTTAAATAATCTCTTTATGGTGTAAACACAAGGGAAACCCACGCTGTTCAGAGTTAATAAATTAAGCCAAAGCAACAACGGCTAACCATGTATCATTTGCTCATGTTACAGATGAACATGACAAGAAAGATGATGTTGAACGTTCAAAGGTTAGTTTGTTTTCTAGACAATGATTTTTTTTACAGCCTCACACGAGTCTATGCATTTGTATTAATGGTCGTGAAGTCATTTTCTCCCACCTCTCTTGTACAATCTTATTGGACTAAATAGAGCGAAGGGAAAGAGCTGACCAAAGAGGAGAAGCAGCGACTGAGGAAAGAGAAGAAACAACAGAAGAAACACAAGGAGAAGAAAGATGACAAGGCTTCACAAGAAAGTGGGAAAGAAAATAAGTCGGCCTCTTCAGCTGCTGCAGCACCCCAGCTTCCAACACAAACAGTGAAAGGTGCACATTATTAGGACAAAACAGTGTTGTGCAAAAAAATCATGTTGTTCCTCATTTCTTGTTATTTTTCTCTTATGGAGCCAGATCATTATTGTCATCATTTAAAGTCCCCTTCAGCAATATTTCTCCTGACTGAACTTTGATTGCTCTATCACTCACTTTCAGTTTAGTACCTGATAATATTATCTGAAAATGTGATATATATATTAGATCAGTGGTTCCCAAACTTTTTATCTTCTGACCCACAAAATATCCAGGGCAAAAACTTGTGACCCCAAATATTACTGGTCTGAGTACACGAACTTGGTTAAAAACTCTAAAAACACAGGCTTTCTGACAATCTAAACAGCTTGTATACAAATTTAAATATTTATTTTTACTTATTTTGTGTTTTTGTAATAATTATAGGGAAAATAATACATCAGCAGTTATTTTATTACCCTTTAAATTGATTTCTGGAGATTATCCAAGGTGCTTCATGACCCATAATTGGGTCCCAAGCCCAACTTTGGGAACCAAAGTGCAGTGGTTCCCAAACTTTTCAGCTTTTGACCCACAAAATAACAGTAGCAGAGATCTGAGCCCCAGCTACTTTTGGTTGATAAATATTTGTATCAGGTCAACAAAACATGGGCATAGTAGCAATATTTTTATACTACATTTATTCATTTTAAATATACTAACCTCACTCCTTTGTAACAAATAAGACAAAAAATGTAATTAATTCAGAAAATCTTTTCAGGACCCAAACTTGATGTTTCGAGACCCCACTTTGGGTCCCGACCCCAACTTTGGGAAACACTGCATTAGATGATCAACTCAAGTATGATGTTTATGTCAGCTTATTGCTGGATTTTTTTTCCCTCCTTGTTTTTAAAGACAGGACTTTCAAACTATTTATCTGTTGTAAGTAGGCTTTAGTCCTGACACGTATTTATTCCTGTAATTGTTGGGTTTCCTCAGTTTTTTAAGCTGCACAACGTGCTGTGATTGTCAGGTAGAAAACGAGTGAAAAAGCAGCCAAAGTTCAAAGAAAAAGATTAAAAAACAACTACAGAAAGCCTAAAGAACAATCGAACGAAACCACTAAAGTAGTAGCTACAGTAGAACTATTAAGACATTTTGGGTGATTCAAAATTGTCGCATAGGATCGACAACAGCCTCTAATATAAAGTGTTACAATCCTTCACTAACATTTTACCTTTATCTATGTTTGCTGTCGTCAGCTCCCTCAGCAGTGCCTGCTCCTGCACCCGTTTTTGTGCCTGCCTCCTCTGAGGCCCCCGCCTCAGCAGACAAGCCTACCAAGACTAAGGCTGAGCTGAAAGCTGAAAGGAGAGCTCGGCAAGAGGCTGAGAGGGCCAGCAAACAGGGGAAGAAGGGAGATCCTGGGCAGCAGGCTGCCTCTGGCAAACTGAAAGCACCGCCCAGTGAGCTGCAGCCAGGTACTGTCACACCCTGACGATCACGATGCGTGATAAAATACTAACGGGCCAGTTTGTTTTCTTGTTACAACAAATCCAAAGTTAGCCTAAAAATAAAGAATCAATCCTGGCAATTAGAAAAGTGAACAAGATGTTGCTCCAGTCTGCAACTCTTTGTGCAAAAGAACACCTTCAGGGGATTTAAAGAGTAAATACTTTGTTTTTTCTTTGCTGTTTAATAGGGTTAATTTATTATTACAATTAATTGTTGCATGTAGTCAATAACAATATGTGACCCATCATATTAAAATGAAGATTAAGTCAAATTTGGACAAAATGACCTAATTACATTTTCAGATTCTTGGCTTTAAAAGCTACATTTTGATACCTGGATCATTCTGCTATCATAAGCTTCTCCAGAGATATGACTTAATTTGTCTTGTTGGTTACATTAATACATTACTGTTTGGTTTGAATCCTATTTTCGTGTAAATTTATGAAGTAATTTTCGATGTCAATATTAAGAGGAAGCATCAAATAATATTTATATATTAAGATTTCCCAGCTGGAAAGAAACAAAAACATTGCTAGCTCACGGGAAAATTAAAAATTTTAAAGTGTTTTTCCTCAAAATCAGGTTTTTTTTTTTGTTGCTACTGCTTAAAAAAGCGCTTCAAAATTTTTTTAGGATTATATTTCAGACAGTTCATTCAAATGATTTGATAGGGCATTAATTATGTTTTGACAAAATGCAATTTTTGCACACATTTATATCAAAAACCTATATCTGCCTATTTTCCCACATTCCACTTTTGGACTTACTGGTAATCCTCGTTTTGATGTGATGGGTCACATATAACATTTAACAGGTAATTGTGCTTGTATGTAGCCAAAGTTGTGGCCATGGTCCACTTTTTCTGACTTTCCTTTGACTCCGGTTTATGTCGGTGTTTCAGGTGATTCAACAAGCTTTTAGGGTTAGCCTTAGATGCTCTGCACCGCCTTTCGACCAACACTTCAGACAGCTGTGGTGGTCATATTGTTTTGGCTCGCTGTAGTGCGAGACCCCAATGAAAATGACTTTCTTTGTGTTTTCAGTGGTGAAGAGACTCCCTGAACACATTCAAGTGGACAACCCAGAGGTTTTAAAGAAGCTGGCCAAGAAATTGGAAAGACAACAGGTTTGACACGTTAGCGTGACTTGAACAATTAGAGCAGGGCTATTCTACGAAACTGCCCTCCCCCATTAATGGTAGGTAAAATTGAAACATAAATTTTAAAATTACAAATTATTTGAAATCTTTTTAATTTATTAAATTACTTAAAAAAAAAATTCTAACAAAAAAACCTCATTGGTGGGTCAGATTCCCGGGGGGGGGCAACTCAGTTAGCCAGTGGTATCAACTGCGTACAAAAAAACATGGGAAAGGGGGTATTTTATAGGGCTGCCACAAACGATTATTTTTATAATCGATTAATCACCGATTATTTTTTTTCAATTAGTTGACTAATCAGATCATACGTTAATTGAATATAAAACATACAGCTTATCATGTCAGAATGCAGCTGCTGTTATATAACCATGGTTAGATTTTAGCTATATGCTAACTAAAAATAATTGCTGTGGAAGGCAAGTTCTGCTCTGCAGATATTRYACAGGTTTCTCTTTCATTTTCTTAAAATGATCCCACACTTTTGAGCTCCGTTGYYRGGTAGCCATGATACCAGAGCCTGTCTGTATAATGTCTTGTGACGTCCACGGCCTACCCCAGTTACCACTACTGTGCATGTGTGTCAAGGACAGAAAGGCAGATGTGGCAGTGGAAGGAGTCAAAGCAGTTTGGAGAGAAAAACAAAGTAAAGAACACAAAAAAAAAGAAAACGAATAATCGATTATTAAATTAGTCATCGATTATTTTAATAATCGATTAGTCGTCGATTAATCGTTGCAGCCCTAGTATGTTCAGACAGACCTGCGCGGGTCAGTGTTTAGTAGGGCTGTGTATTGGGAAGAATTTGGCGATACGATACATATCATGACAGACGGGCAATACGATATATCCCGATATATTGCGATACTGTAAGCAAGGCGATATATTGTGATATATTGCGATTTTTTTTGGTCCAAAAATTCTGTTAAATAAAAACGTCTTACTGGAAAGAAAAAGAAAAACCAAAATTCATTGTCTCAGAAAATTCTATTACATAGACATGCGCTAGCTTTCTGTAACGTGAAGGTTGACTAAAGTTGGAAAAAAGAGCGCACAAGACACTTAATTTGGTTTAAAATACAGACATTCTGACAAATAAGTAACTGTTTGTAAACAGCCTTGTAAACATGTAAATTCAATGACAGCCGCCAGTTGACTATCTGTCATTGAAACATAAATTTTAAATTTACAAACGATTGGTAGGCCGATGGAAGTCACCTGCAGGCTGGATGTGGCCCATGGGCCGCCAGTTGAATAGCTTGCATTGAAGTAAAATATTAAAATTTACAAACAACATTAAATCTATTTTATATTAAATTAAATAAATAAAGAAATAAATAATTTTTGGGTGTGGAGGGTTCATTGGCACGCCGGATGTCGCCTGCGAGTCGTCAGTTGAATAACCTTGACTTAGCGTATGCGTGTTTAAACACTTAGCCTATATAGAATAAGTAGAGTATGTTTTTTTATACATTACTTTGACCACAGTCTGTCACTGTTTACACTGTTTCACACGCTTGCTGTCAGTTAGAACTGTGAGTGATTCTACTCAACATTTTCTTTCAGACACCAGTTCACGGTGCTACCATAAAGGTATTAGTTAATAAAGTGGAGGCTTTAAACAAAGTGTGCTATTAACGTTGTTTAGGTAGTGTTTTTAATACTAACCCTTAATGCTTTTGCAGTCCAACATCAGCCATGCAGTTTTTTGTTTTTCTATACCTCCATAGGGACAGATGCAGTACTACTTGAGTTTATTTTACTGTTGTTAGTGTGGACTCTGAGCTGCTTGCTGTGAAGCGTTTTGATTTTAATCCATCCTGCTCTCGCAGAATCACATGTTGTAACATTGTGGCTTTATTTGTTGGTTGAGTTTTGAGAGATTTTTTTTCCCATCAAGATTATTTTCTAACTTTTTATGTTGATTTAACTTATTGTCAGATGTGTTGTGTGTTTCAGATCCCGCTACGCTCAGACTACGGCTACAAAGTCAGCCTGTTTTCTCACCTCCATCAGTACAGTCGCAAAGCCCCTCTAACACAACAGCTCAGGTAAACCAGCTGCTTTCTATAAAGATCTGCAGAGTTTTAGCCTTTATCTCCTCGAATGACCTTTATTAATTAATAATAGCTTTTGTTGTGGTTGCAGCATCCCTTCAACAGTAATCCATCCTGCTGTCGTTCGACTGGGCCTTCAATATTCACAGGGCATCGTGGCGGGGTCGAACGCACGCTCAGTTGCTCTGCTGCACGCATTCAAGCAGGTGCTGTTCCATAAATCAGAGGTTTTCAAACTGGGGTCCCAGGACCCACAGGGCACGGCAAGCTGTTTCTTCGGTGTCCTCAAAAAAAAATTTCAGTAAATTCTTAATTTTGGTTTTTATTTTAAAAATGCATATGGGGACACTTAAACACTAAACAGACACTAAAAAATAATATTCCCATAGCATTCAGGGGGTAAAATGATGATTTTTAAATCTGCATGAAGTTCATGAGGGAGTATCTGAAAATGTTTCACCCTTGTAAGCAGACCTCAGACCCAAAAAGTGTAGAGTTCACTTTTATTGTTCTCCTTCTGTTGGAGTTAGGCTGTAAAAATACACCTCAGTTGTAAATAAAATGTCATCAACCATCAAAGATAAACAATCCTGTTTATGTTCTCTGTGGGCGTGTCCTCTACACACTCACAAAGCACCTTGTTTTGAACGGTGGGCATGTTTTCAGAGTCACTAGGTGTCACTGTTTCTGTACTGAACATGTAAACTTTTAGTGTTAAAATGTAAGAACAAAACGTTTAATCTGCTTAGTTTTAAAGCCTGAATCTATACTAAAATCCCAACAGATTTTCCTGGAATGTGCCTTTTTCTCTCTCTCTTTTTCTTTTTAGATAACACGACACAAAACACATTTAAACTAGTGTTGTACCAAATGATTATTTTCTAATCGATTAATCTAACAATTATTTTTTCGATTAATTGATTATTCTAACAACAAATCTATAAGTTATTCTGATGTGAGTGCACTGGATATTTAAAATGTTTTCATCAAATTAACAAGAACAGTTCTTTAATATTGTAATATTTTCTGTAAGTTTTTTCATGGACACAAAATATGCACTCTAGAGTCAATTCTTTAACAAAAAAAGCTTAAAAGATTTAACATCAACATAAAATCTCAACCAAAGCATATAAAATTCAACTAAAAGAAATATAGTGCAAGAAGTTAACAATCTAACAAATGAACTAAATCATGCAAAATTCAAGTCACTCTGGAAAAACTATAATAAACATTTATTTATTATTTTTTATTTAACATATTTCTCAATAAATAAAAATTAACAAATATCAAGACAACAACCAACTCTTTGTATTGTAACATCAGTTGTGTAACTAATTTCTTTAAGGTGAAAACTGTTGAAAACAACAAGACTGTTTTGTCTTATTGCGCAAATTAAAATCCAGCTCCACGTGTTTCTATTGATGTCATTTCCCCACTAGAATAATGTGTGATGGAGGTCCATGGAAGGCAAATAAGTTTAAATCAAATAAACAAAAGAGGATGCAGTTAAAATAAATAAAAGGTATTTAAGCTACGATTTGAACATCCAGAACACGTCCAGCACTTGTTGGCTGCTTGTGCTCTTTAGGTCAGACGTGTGTCGGGAAGCTCCTCTGTTGTTTGAGACGCTGGAGGAACCGTCTGATGGGGGAACGTGGCTCGACCTAACACCGGTCTCTGTTTAATGGCGGATGAAATAAAGAAAGTGGTGGTACTTTATTTACTTTGAGCAAGTGAACGTCGTGTTCACAAGATAATTAATCCACCAGATAATTCAGAGGCGGTCTGTTCGGTAAGTTTTACTCCAGGAGCTGCGAGGCTTGTTTTCAAGCTTCAGACTGAACTGAAGCAGCGGCTGCTGGCGTCATTACGCTCTTGCGCGATGCTGCGTTCAGGACAAGCATGGAAAACTCACCACTCTTATGCCAATACGGTCGCAATGATGCTTTTAGGTACCGAAATGGAATTGCATGAACATTCATGTGATGGTTATGTAATATAGCGAATCGATAATAAAAAATCTGCGTCGACAAATTTACATAATCGACGTCATCGATTATTTCAATTAATCGGTGCAGCCCTAATTTAAACAAGCCTGACGCATTCACCTGATCATTTACATACAAAAGAAACAACTTTGGTCCAAGCACAGAATCTTTTCTCGACTGAGACCTAAATTATCTTCAAGGATCAAGAAGGAGGTTCAGTTTGTTAGGATGTTCTGATTGACTGAGAATTTACTGCAAGAATTTAAATCCTTAGTAACCAAATTCAGTATTTAACTTTTTTCATGTTTTTTTTTCCATTAGGTTATACGGGATTATACCACACCGCCAAATGAGGAGCTATCTAGAGACTTAGTGAATAAGCTAAAACCCTATATCAGGTAAAACTAAAAAAAATATGACTTATAATGTAACAATTAGTTTTCTTAATAAATTCCACTAAGTGGTTCGATAATTTCTGATTTTACAAACTAGTTGTTTTCTCACTGCTTCAACATGAATAAAATGAATTAATTTGCCTTTTGTTTTCTCAGTTTTTTGAATCAGTGTCGTCCTCTATCGGCCAGCATGGGCAACGCCATTAAATTTGTCAAAAAGGAAATCTCCAACATTCCCACTCAGTGCAAGGAAGAGGAGGTTAGCTTCATCTGTTATGTGGCATCATAAACACTGAACCCATGTTACAACTTTCTCCTGTCTGTTTTAGGCCAAGAGTAAAATTCTGAACTGTATTGAATGGTATATAAACGACAAGATAATTCTGGCGGCTAAAGCGATCGCTGCATCTGCCATTGAGAAGATCAGCGATGAGGATGTTATTCTAGTTTATGGATGGTAAGACTTCAATCATGTTTGAACCGTGGCTGTAAAATCTGTTGTCTTGTTGCCTAGCATGGCTTCAAACTTTGTTAAATAAACACAAATGTGTCTAGAGACAGTCTCTCTTTCACACTTCCTCTTTCCTGTTCTCGTCTCTTCGCTTTTCTTCCACATTTAATCTGGTTTTATGTCCGTCAGCTCGTCTCTGGTCAACCACATCCTGTTTGAGGCCTTTGAGAAAAGGAGGAAGTTCCGCGTCATAGTTGTGGACAGCAGGCCTCGGCTGGAGGGCAGGGAGGCTCTGAGGCGCCTGGTCCAGAGAGGCATCAGCTGCACCTACGTCCTCATCTCAGCTGTCTCCTACATCCTTCCAGAGGTAAGAGGAAACCCTCCTTGTTCACTTTTTAAAGTCTCACTACCGATACACTCACATACCAATTTACAGTATTTATTCAGTTATAATATGTAAAATTTAATCCATATAATCATCCATAAAGTTGGGGGGTAGTACTATACTCGGATAAATATTTTTACTTATGTATTTTAACTGAAATATCTGCTTCATTCACAAAATGCCTGAGTCCGGAAATGAGACCACGTCGTGAAAAGCAGTTGAAACAAGCTTACCTCTGACACTCCTCCGTGCCTCAGAGCGAGGTAATAACAGATCCAGACAGGCGACATGATGTGAAAAAAAGGGGGGAAAGTATTCCTGCACCTTAGTAATGATAACAAACTAATGACAGCGTGTGACCGGACTGCTGCTGGAACAACAACAAACACATGTTCGTCTGTAATGGCTGCCGTCTATCGGTGTTCTGAAAACGTTTGTATCCCTGAATAAAGTTTCCCCACCAGAGGGGGCGCTCGTGAGTTGGAAGTAATCTGCTTTTGCCCCACAAGATGGCCCAAATCTCATGTGAAGTCTCTGACTTTTGTGTTGGTACATCCTGGTGGACTGTGTGTAAAATGCCAGAATTCATATGATGCTGCTACAGCTGATATATATTTGTTGTCAAAATACCTTTTAGTACATATGTTGTTAAAATAAAATGAACAGTCCAATGATCATTTTACTGATATGTATAAAGACTGCAAAGGCTGAAAAATCTTGAAGTCTGTATGAAATTGGAGGTAGTTTGAGGATTAAATTTTTTATGCTTTTTAAGCTCAAAAAAGTGGGGGTCGTATTATACATGAGATCATATTAAACATGAATAAGTACGGTAAATAGTTTTGTCTTTGATATTTTTTTATCTTTAGAAACCAGGTTGTCTAATTAAAATAGTCAATATAATTAATTTAAAACAGAATGCCTAATATCTACCTCAAACCTTCCGACATCTGGTCCAGCATTATACTCCCCTGGAGTATAATTTTCGAGCCATTTGAAGAGCATTTTATGGAATTCTTGGGATTAATAAAATGTAAAATCAACATTTTATGAAGGTGAAACACTGAGAACCAGACTTTAACCTGAAACTTCATTTATCTTCATTTTGTTTTGTTTCCAAACTGAGCACCAGTAGTTAGTCTTGACTGCATCATATGGTATTTTTATCACAATATATTCTCTTACACCTCAAGTAGTAACAAAGCAGGACAACTTACCTTCATATATGTGATTATTCTACACACTAAATCTATTATACTCTTATTAAAAAAAATTGTCCCTGTTTGTCGCACCCCCTAGAATGACGGCGCCTTTAGCATTCGTCTACATGGTCTGTGAGGATGTTTTCTTTCTTTTCTAGGTGTCGAAGGTGTTCCTTGGCGCTCACGCACTCTTGGCCAACGGCTACGTCATGTCTCGAGTGGGGACTTCTCAGATCGCGTTGGTGGCCAAAGCCTTTAATGTGCCTGTGCTGGTTTGTTGCGAGACCTACAAGTTCTGTGAGCGGGTGCAGACGGACTCCTTCGTGTCCAACGAACTCGGTATTTATTTATTTATTATTTTATTTTTTTGCTTTTTGTAACCAACACTCCCGCTGTTGAATCCGTCCTGTAATTTTCACTGTTCCATTCCAGATGACCCCGATGACCTCATCGTGACCCGCAAAGGTAAAACCCATTTGGAGAACTGGCAGGAAGTGCCCTCTCTTGGTCTGCTGAACCTGGTGTACGATGTGACGCCGCCCGATTTTGTGGATCTGGTCATCACTGAACTGGGGATGATCCCATGCACCTCGGTCCCGGTGGTGTTGAGAGTTAAAAACGTGGACCAGTGAACAGCCTTCATTCAGTTTGTGTGCATGAGTTTCTGCACACAACACGTAATATTGTGCTTTTAGCATGCAATAAATATATTTCAGACATGGCATAACCTTTGAAATGGTATCTTGTTTTTATGGTTCTTTTTCCAAATCTTATTAAAAAGGTAAGATGTTGAACCTCTAAACATGTCATGTTCAACCAGGGCATGTATTGTTAAATTAACCATTTTGGGATTAAAGTTGCAGCTTTTTTTTCCCCTCTGAATGAAACTTTATTGCTCTCATAAATTCCAGAGACTCTTTCCAAACCGATCAGTCAAACAAAAAGTGCGAGACACAAACCAGAAAGTTTACGTTGTCACAAGCAGTAGATGAGTCCCACATGCTTGAGTTTTTATTTGGCAATAAGTTTTACATTTCCATTAGGACAACAATACCTTAAAACAAGATTTTTAAAAAAATGTTTAGACTGCTGCACGCAGTTTATGCATATATGCACAGTGTAGCAGCTAAACAGGTTCAGGAATTGATCCACGTTTTAAATATTAGAACCTTAATAAAATGAAGCAACAAAATGAGTTGTAACTGATGAACAAATAAAGATTCTCAGGCAGCATATTACAAACATTTTTGAAATGCTTTACGTTCACAATTTAGTCCTGGATCGTAACAGTCTGCATTACTAAACTATAAACAGATCAAAATGACACGGTTTAGTACCTAAACCCCTGTTTTATGTTGCACTAGAGTGATTAAAATAAATCACGTATCAAGCACATTTAAACCCATAAGTTTTGGTGGTTTGCTTTACAATTTACATAAAAATTGCATTTTTTTACAAAGAAAGAAATGTATTTGCAAAATATTTCTTGCTGAAATTCTCCTGAACATTCTCCAGGAGATGACGTTTATGTAAACTCGCACACTTTCAGTAGATGTTTATAGTCTTATTATTTTTTGTCAGTCTGCTTTAATAAAATAAAATAAAATAATTGTCATTTCTGACAAATGTAACATTGACAATCACATCAGATTTCCCTGAAATTCCACTGGTACAATAAAAGTTTGTTTTTCCCCCCTGAAATAAAATCAGATAAACTGTTGAAAAAAAAAAGAAAAAAGGGCATGAGGTTTTATTAAACTTTGTCAGCATTCTCTCTTTGAAGAGTCGGTTTCCGTCAGTCGAGTCGTAAAGTGTGACTCGACTTTACGTCTCTGTGTAGCCCACAGCAGGAGGGACATCACAACTGTAGATGCAGCCAGGGGCCCAAAAACCTGGAGGGCTGGAAACTCCCCCTATTGACCATTTAACACACATTATTAAACAACTGTTTGTTAGTGTTAAATATTAATAATGTTACAGTACAAATCTTTTGAAGTGGGGCTGTTGTAGAGTGCATATAAACAATATCTTACCTGTTGTGGATAGTTTGAAGGGTTTCAATTTGGAAAATTTGTTTACATTTAATTGCAACAAACAAAATATTACAAAAAAAGACAAAAATTGCTATAGTTTAATTTTGATTAGATGAGCTAAAGGCTAGTCAGAGTAAAACAACTCAGGTTAAAAATTAACAGGTTCATGGAAACATTGTTTTATAAGCTTTTACAACCTGTTAATTTCACTTTTTTAACATGTAATTCTACAACAGCAGGTAACTGTAGCACTTTCTGGGGTCATTTCTTGCAGAATTTGTGTATTTTATTTAAAATTTAAGTCAATATGGAAGAACAGAATTTAAAAAAAAAAAACAAAAACAAGATGGACAGAAAACTAAAACACAACAGTAAAACTAATAATACAAACTTAAGGCAAAAAAGAGGCATCTAATCAGATGTGGCTACTTCAGAATGTTTAATAGATTTAAACAAATCTAAAGTTTAATATCTGCCAGAACATACATGTAATGTAAAAGTTCTGCATGAACCTCTAAAACTTATTAGATTAGAGGTGTTTTAATTCTGACATCAAGACTAGTCACTAGTTTGTTAATCTGATCAAAATTTAACTTGATTTCTCAAAAACTGAGGACTTCAAAAGATCTGATGCATCACTTTTAGAAAGAAAAAATAAATCCATAGCTGCGTTTACAACCAACCTCTCTGAGACATTTGTATCCGTAGTAGTTTTCAGCACAGCTGCACTCGTAGAAGCCCGGACCATCGGGGGCACAGAGGGAGTTTTCCGGGCAGTTCAGGGCTATAGATTCCCAATAATTACCAACAGGACACATGTTTTTAAAAGAAAAACTTGTTTTTTTTAAACATGACTGTAGAATGGAACTTACACAGATGTCCTGTCTGGTTGCATATATCTTTTTGGCCTTCACAGAGCCGATTTCCCTGTTTGACTTCCACCTTCTGCCAAGAAGTGTTCCCTCCAGGACAAACTACATCCTCTGGCAAAAAGCTAAAAAAAATAAATAAAAAATGGGGGGCATTAAAATAAATTTATATCAAAATCAAATTTACCCATGTCATTCAGTTTTTAAAGTTGAATTTTGCAGGATACCAACATGTAATTTAGGTAAAAAAATCCTCGAAACACATCAGCGCTGATGTTGACGATAGGGTTGAGGGAGAGATCTCTGGAATAAAAACATTTATAGAGTTATAAGTTATAAAAGAAAACAAAATACGGTCCCTCTTAAAGTGTATCTTACCCCCCCCCCCCCCCCGTGAAAAGATAACTCCGCCCAAAGGTGATATTTGAAAAATGCATCAAAGTGGGGTGTGGGTAGGGGGGGGGTTAGAGAGCGGGGGTGTGGCCAGAACGAGAGACCGTGACAGCCTCGGCTGAGCTGTCCGCCTCACAGGACAGAGGAGTGGAGCCCTCTGCGACAGCCTGACATAAAAAAATAAAAGCATACAGCTGCATCTGCTCACAAGATCACTAGTTTAAATCATGAATAAAAGTGTTGGGTCTTGTTTGACTGAAGTTTGGTCCGTTAGGGCTGCAGCTGCGCCGTTGTGTTTCTGCCTTTTTTTTCCCCTCCTCCCCTCCCGCTGTGCAGGACGTACTGCTGGAGTGTGTGTGTGTGTGTGTGTGTGTGTGGAGAGGGAGAGGGAGGGAGAGGGAGAGAGAGAGCAGCGCAGCAGTCAGCTCTCCCCACC